AACCGCTCACCTGCGACCTTTCAGGTGAAGCCCTAGCACTGACCTGCCTTGGAGGCATCGCCAACTGCCTCCTCTTCAGGAGGGATCACCAGGATGTTGGCTGGGACCAGGAAGACATCCTCGCTTGGCTGAAATGAGAAGCATTACTTGGCTTCTGCTGCATAGTCCCACTCTAGCAGCAGAAGCTCACCCAAAGCCGGCAGCTGAACATGCATCTCTCTCCCCAACAAACCTCCAGCTCTGCCCACTGCTCTTCCCCTTCCTTCTCCCACCTGCTCAGAGCAGCATACCTCCATGAGGTGGCACAGCCCTGTCTCAGACAGTCGCAGAGACAGCTCCAGGTCAGGCACGTTCAGAGCAGCCCAGACTGACCTCTTTCTTGCGCTCTGCCTCCCACTGGGTCACAAGAAGCTCAACCTTCTCTGCTGCAGGCAGCTCTTTGGGCATCTGTAAATCCAAGCATTCCTCAGCATTTTGCTTCAAAACCTCAAGCTGGTTCTGCCCTATTGCATCAATCAGCTGAGAGATGGATGGCTCTGGAGCAAGAAGAACACAACGTATGTCAGCATGAAAGACACCTTAATTCAGGCATGTGCCCTGAGCAGCCCCATTTGCAGATGCTTTTACTTTCCAGTGCATGACTCTCACATGCATTGAAACCCAGGGAAACACACAAAACTGAGCATTTCCTCTGCATCCAGGAACTATCTTCTCCTTTTTCTTCCCAGCCATGCAGCATCCTCGCACATTTTCCAGACACATTACAAGGATTATTCTGTTGCAAACGTACAGCCACTTCAGAAGGGCATGCAATAAGATGGGGAAAAAGGAACATCACTACTGCAGCAGAGACAACTCCACCAGAACCAGGGGATAAAAAGGGTGTGTTCAGAGCTCAAGACACACACAGTCAGCATCCTGAACAGGACAAGGGTCAGCGGGGAACCCAAGAAGCCCTTCAAACTGCAGGCCAAGAGCAGACCCTGCAGCAGAGCTCTGACAGAGGGGTTTCTCCAGTCTCTCATCATCTGGAGCAGCACTACAAGCATGGGTCTGCCTTAGGCTTAGCAATACTGCCTTTTGACACTGCTCTGAGCCTCTTTCTCTCCTTTCTCTTTTTTATACAGCCAGAGAGCAAAGCACCCCCTGAGGTAACTAACGTTCCCAGATGCTGGGACAGATGGGACTTAGCCTAGCTCCTGACAGGCAACAGACACACTGCTGCTCCTCACTATCCCGGTGACCGAGGGCAGATCCACCCTGGTCTTTGCAGCGAGAGCATGCTTGTGGCTTCTCAGAGAACCAGGGTTGGCCAGACTGGGTCAGGTAAGGCACCCTGTCCAACTCTGGGACCCTGTCACTCAACTCATCTGCGAAAGGGGCCACTCGGCAATGTCTGTGTTGCATTCGCCTAACAGGCCACGCTCAGAAGAGCCATGAGTCCTCCACTCTGTTCACTCCCAGAGAGCCACAGCGTTACATGCCCCCCCACAGCCCTTTACCTGAGCTGGGGCCGCTCTTCAGA